AAAAACTGTGGCACATATACTCTATGGAATACTATTCAGCCATAAAGAACAACAAAACCCTGGCTTTTGACAAAAAGTGGAAGAATATGGAAGATATACTGCTGAGTGAAGCAAGCCAGGTTATGAAGGAGAGACACTGTATGTCCCCACTTAATTTATACCAAGTGTCTGCACTCTATAACTGAAACTGATTGACCTAAGGTTGTACAAACACAAGAGATGGGGGTCAGTGCCAGAAGTGGAGTGTGTGGAGAAGAGGGACCTAAGGAAGGACATTTGGAAGAGGGATATGGAGACAGAGCATTGATGGGATGGGGAGGTGTGGTGTTATTGGTGGAAGATACTCTGATCAACTGGACTGGGGAGACATGTTCACACACATACTGAAATGTTCACTTTGTAAGCTAAATAATATTGAATTTATATAAAACATTAAAATAAAAAAGTGAAAAAAAAAAGAAAGCAGTTTCACACTTCACTCATGTGAACACACAGGTCACAGAGGACGAGAAGAGACGTGACACTTTGCAAGTGCAGTGTGTGAAATATGAACCAGGGACAGGGTAAACACAGTGACCGAGGATCTATAAAAATGACATTGCCATTGTATTCGACCTCAGGGACTCACGGTGTTCCTACAGAAAGCAGGTGCCCAATGTGTTCTTGAAGCCCTTGCTAACTCGCCTTATCCATTCTCCTTGGATATAGTGGACTCCCTAGGTCAGGTGGTCAAGTGCAGGCCACACTCTAGGTGCTGGTGCATTCTAGGTGTCTCAGGAGAGCTCAGCTCTAGAACATTGTTCCAACCCCACTGGGAAGCAGATCCCCAAGAGAAAGCTGAGCTTCCCAAGGAGACCCCAGTGACACTAGCAAGACCTGCCACCATGAGTGCAAACGCTGATTCAGACCCACATGGCTGCCCAATTTTTGCTATCCTTGTTATTCCAACTTCAGCATTTCTGATATCTTAGAGGTCTCTGTGAACTGGACAGTGTTGGTGACAGTCCCGTCCTGACCATGTGGCCAACGAACCATCAGGCTCACTCCAGGTTCGCTCAGCTGTCAGCCCTGCAAGCACTGGGCACAGGTCTCACAGGAGGTGCTTGGTCAAGGGATGGGAGTCGGGACGGAAGGCACATCCTATGAAGCCCTTCTGCAACCTCCTCAAGTCCTGTGTGCAGCTGCTGAGCCAGGAATTTTGAGCCTGGAACATCCCCACCTGGGGGACCCCTTGACCTCACGGGACTAAGCTTATCTCCTGTGGGGAACTTAATATGCAGTGTTCTTAATTCTGAGGTGTGCTGTCACTAGGGCTGTTTTGTGTGCACACCTGTGCCCTCTGAACTCATTTCAGTCAAATGTATTCAGATTAAGGCTGTTCTAGGTGATACTTCAGCTCCCATCCTCATCTCAGTCCTCTGCAAGATGGGTGCATCTCCCTCACCATGAACTCCCTGGAATGTGTTTTGGAAGGTTTTAGTTCATTCCAAAGATCTTGTTTCTGGGAGTTTTTAGATAAAGTTTTTAAACACAAATATGATAACATATGAGAAATACTAGATACCATAAAAAGTATGTGGGAGTGTAACAGATGTTCTCTGAGAGCAAACATCAGCACAGAAATCTTAAACATGAAGATAGGATCACAAGGTGCATAATAAGCATTGGTGCAGAAATTAACCATAACTTGCTCCACCCACTTGTGACATGCTTGCCTGAGACTGACTACTCAGAGCTACCAGTCTGTTCCCCTTCAGAAACTGCCCAGGGAATGCCTCGGAAGCACAAATCACAAAAACTAAATTTTCAAAATGAGACCATAGAAGTGTCCTCAGAACCAGCTGGCCACACTCCATCCTCCTCCAGTCAATGTTCTCCCTGCACTCCATTCATTCATTTATTTATTTATTTATTTATTTATTTATTTATTTATTTATTGGAGAGGTTTTCGCTAT